ATATATATATATATATATATATATATATATATATATATATATATATATATATATATATATATATATATATATATATATATATATATATACATGTGTTACATTTTTTGATTATTTGCCAAGAAACTTTATTAATTTCAAAATTCGACGCTGTTATCGCCGTCAGTTGCAAACCGATGCGTTGCGGGTGTCGATGTGAAATGCGCGACGCGACCCCATCAAAATTGCAGCTGATGAGTTGATAACAATCATACCTGAATAATTGTCATCAACTCCGACTCGGACCTTAAAATTGTATTTTAAGGTAGATAATGTTGTATCCAGCAGTAGTTGTTAATATTTTTGTTTGTAGAAGGCAGTAATTAGAGTTATACTGCTTGCTGAAAATAAGCTTTTCCGCTTATTTATCTGGGCTTTAGTGGAGGGACACAGTGTTCTGGAGGCATCCTTAGTTAGCTGCTGACCATATAGTAATTACACTTACACTTACCTTACCACCATGTTTAGCCTTAAAATTACACTTACCACCATGTTTAGCCTTAAATTAATGCTGATTACTTGCTGCCAAGAGAATTGTGTGTCAAGTAATTGCAACACTTCCTTCCTCTGCTTATACAAACTAACGGTATACATACCCCTACTTGACCCTTGACCTATCTTACAAGATACAGTGAGTAATGTCTCATACTGATTGATTGTACGAATCCAAATAAAGACGATAACTCTATGAATTTTTGCTGGAACAAACTGGCAAGGAAATGGTGGGAAGTGATGAGAGAAAGATAGATAAAGGTTGTCAGCATAGAGTGAACAGAGTTAGGCGAGGAGTAAGAGAATGTGGTAGGACTGCGGAAGTCCATCACAACATGTAAACATCAGCTGAGAAGGGCCGAAAGTCAGCTGAGTGCGGCGTGGCGTACATGTGTGTTCTTCCAGCCAGCGCGCATCGAGGTGCAGGCATTCTTCCAGCAGGAAAACGAAGTGCTCGAAATTTAGCCGCGTCATATGTGTATATGTGTGTGTGTGTGTGTGTGTGTGTATGTCTGTATGTGTATGTGTGTATATGTATGTGCGTGTGTATGTATGTGTATGTGCGTGTGTATATGCATATATATATATATATATGTGCGTGTGTATATGCATATATATATATATATGTGCGTGTGTATA